TGTGTGTGTGTGTGACTGTGTGCATCTGTGTGTAATCAGAACGTGGTTGGGTACTTGTTCCTCAAAGAACCTGCAGGATTCATCAGGTATGTCATGTGGTTTTGAGCTCCGGGGTAGGGCTCGAAGTCTTGTTTGTAGGCGGTGTGGTGTCAGCATCCCTGCACACTGTGTGGCACCATGTGGGAGGGACTGAAACGCAGTAAAGAGTGCAAAAGGTGTTCTAGTCTTTTCTTGCCGAACATGTAAGCGCCGGCACCCTGACAGGGCCAAGTGTCCAAAACTTCGGATGTTTTTCATCCACCTAGATCTTCTGCAGATGAAACACGGCACAAGCACTGGACGTCCGGAGCGTACCATCCTTCTCTTAGTCAAGAGAATGAAGATCGATTGGAATGCGCATTGCCTTCTTCCAAACTGCGGATACCCGTGACCAACTGAGGCTGCCGGGGGGCTTCTCTGTCGTGTTCAAGGATGTCACAAAGTCCAGGCCATTGGTTATCTCTGCCAAGAACTTTTCGGGGTTTAGAGCATTTCTGATGTTGAGGAGTCGGACAGGTCCTTCTGTTTTCGGCTGCGGGCTGCGCAATGGGATTCCTGTCGTAATCCTCTCCATTGGACTCCAGATGGCTTGATAGCGCAATGATGTGAACACATCGATCGCATACCTCAGGACAAGTAGGTCATCCTCGTCTTCAAGCGGCAGTTGGACATAGAGTTCCAGCAGGCATTCTCGCATCGCCTCCATTCCCATTTCTAAGAAGTCTTCATAGACTTCCAACGACGGGGGATCACTGAGAGCAAAGTAAAGCCTGTTCGCGATGTCGGGCAAGTAGCAGGCCCACTCGGCATCCTCTTCGAAACTCCGATCTGCCATGGCTTGCGCAAGGCCTTGAGCAGCTATCCGCTGAGTTCCTGTTGCACAGAAGCCACACGCACGGCTGCTTGCTTTCAGAGGACGCAGAATAGAAGCTTTAGGGTTTACAGAAAATTGTGGGGATGATATAGAGCTGTAGGGGTTTCGCCATTTAACCGAGGTTTAGTTCTGAAGCCGCTGTGAAGCTTCCTTGATTTTGGGGTGCTGCACCTGGCTGGGGATTGCTTTTTGGAGGAATTTGGGGCTGCAGTTTGGCTCTTCTGAAAAAATGAAATGCCTTTGGGCTGGGATGCTGGAGGGCTTGGGCCTCTGCGCTTGGGGCCTGCAGGACGACTCTTATATAACCACTTGCAGAATTCATGAACCCAACTCAACTCCCATTCCTGATCTGGGAGGCCGGCCGGCTGCTGAGCCTGCTCGACGCGAAGGAGCCTCAGTGCGTGATGCACACTCTGCTGTCATCAGAACCATGTGCGAGCGCAGGCTGAAGTGAGTTTGGCTGGTTATTGGTTTCTTTGACACTGCAGCCATGCCTCAGAAGCCATACGTTTTCAGGTTTGTGGTCCAATGAGATAGAGCCAAAGTTATAACGGTACATTCATCAAGCCACGCTACAGCTGTGCAGCACAGTGCAAGTCAGTGGCAAAGGTACTCGACTCCTACAATACATTTCACAGTTCTGCTGGCACACGTCATGAGTTTTGACTGCGAACACTGAAGATTTGTGCTTAGACTTGCGCCGTTGACAATGGCATGGGCTGGAAACTGGCAAAGCTCGGGCGGAAGTGGCGGTGGTGGCTACGGCTGGCAGGGCTCGGGCGGCTGGGGCGGTGCCGGTGGTAGCAGCGGTAGTGGCTACGGATGGGGCGGCCAACCGCTGTCCAAGAAGCAGAAGCAGAACCGCAGGAAGAAGGCGACCAAAT